TCATTTACAAAGATTAAAACTAATATCACAATTATCTTTAATTGCATGAACTTTAAATCTTTTTGCTCTAATATATAAGAACTCAATGGGATTGAAAAAAAATAGTTGTTTAAAGTTGAGAAAGAATTGTAACACCACATTACCACCACCATGTTCTTGGTTACGCTTGACGACTTTGATCCTTTCCTGGATGCAATCATCCAAGTCCATGAAATTTCTAAGTACGCCGACATGAACGTCTCGCCATCGTCGTTCTCGATGAGTGTGTCGGACCCTACCCATGGCTTCGTTGTAAAACTGCACATTTCGCCCAAATTCTTCGCCAACTATTCCGTTGAAAGGCATCACCGTTGGAGGATTTCCCTCGCATCCCTCCACGATGCCATGTTCGTTTCTCTAGGGCGCGTTTGGTTTCAATGTACCTCATTTTTCTCCACCATATGAACCAATTGACCCTTATATTCTCAACTTCAAGTTAGTTTATACTCTTTTATTTACACAAATCTTTGTGGATTCTTGAACAAATATTTCATTCTTTCTAGTATTGTTATGCTTATAATAAAGACTTGTCTCATATAATTTTGAGAGGTGGAGTAATTGTTATTTTGGATTTAGTCAGTGGCAATTGGATGAGTTTTGTAAAAGAGACTTTGTAGTGTGAACACTTTGGTTATAGTGATTGACTATCACGGGTGGATGTAGGAGAATTTTTTCTCTCCAAACCATGTAAATCTTTGTCTCTTTGATTCATTTTTGTTTTTGTGTGTGAGTGCAATCGTTCTTGTTTCCACTTCCACTATATTAATTGGGTATCACAGTATTTTTGGTTGTGATATTAGAACTCAACAAGTGATATCAGAACATTTTAGTTGTGGCATTTTAGTATAACGAGCTGTCATTTCATTCTTTTCCTTATCTTGTTCTTGCATTTCTTGTTAAAAACACTTCTAGGAAATGCGGACACATTCCAAATTGTCACCTTACCGAGAAGTGGATGGAGGAGCGGTTGAATTGTGCAAATTTCTTCTCAATTATTCAAAGGATTTAAGACGATATATACTAATGAACTACTTCCCTTCTAATCAAGGTAATTAGGATTCAAGACGTTTTTCGTTTTTGTTCCATTTCATGACTTACGAAAAATGATATAAACAGTTGTTTTTTATATGCTATCGTATCTATTATTTCTTGTTTTATAAATTGTTTAAAACAAATTATTAATCTTTCACCGCTTATGTTATTTATATTATTATGAAAAAATCTCAAGTCAAAATCTCTATGGAAAACGAGGAATTTATTATTTTGAACAAGCAGGTATTGTTCGTGAGCTAATATCACGACATTCTAAGTATTTTTTTTTTATTTTTTTATTTTTTGAAAAGTTCTTACGTTAAATTTGTTGGTTGATGTTTTGTAGAAGGGAGAATGTGATATTGTAGGTTATGGAGAAGTTGAAACTCAATTCAAAATCAAGCTCCATATCTTGCCCTTTTCCATTAAGATGGCAATTGAGGTCGAGAAGATATGGTTTTATAGGACTATGAATTCTCATTGTGGAATGTTTATCCCTACTTTGAAATCTCTTGCTCGTTATGAGATCATATATTTTTCTCAAAGCTAATATTGATATGCTTTCTCATATCTTTTCTCTATGATATTCATTAGAGTTAGGTTGGATACTCAAAATATACATATAAGCCTACTTGAAATGGGTTTATGATGTATATTTAAGTATATCTTTGATATATGTCAATTTGAGCATAATCCAATCGATAATCTTTTAGTTATGTTCATATATCAACGAGTCAAATAGGGAGTACAGTTTTTAACCTAACCTAACTCGACCCAACCTATCATCCAAAATAGCCCCTATATGTTGTGGGGTTTTTTTATTTTTTATTTTGTTAACTATGAGAGTTCTAATAATAAGGCAATTATCCTAACCGTTGAACTACAAATGCATTGTACGCTACCTAGTAGGGTGATTACATGACACTCCCGTCCAATCGAACCAAATTTGCATCAAGGCTGACCTCGCACATCAACGACCAGTTTTAAGTATTTAGAACCACAATTCGTCCTTCGTTCTTCACGTCCACCGCAAAGGTTCCTCCATATTGTTCAATGTCATTCCATTTCAGTGCTCCTTCGAGCTTTCGTCTATTATGGAAAGGTTTCTTATCTAAGAATGGGTCTTCACTAGGTCACTTGTTGGTCTTATTTTATATCAACAGACTATTCATTAGAAGATTAATGGCAACTAAGGTATGAAATGTATTTTTGCAAGCATTTGTAGACCAATGGTTAAGATAATTGCTTTCAATAGACCTGGGTTCGACTCCCAGCATATGCAAATATATATTAATACATGATGTGAGGTTATCCTAAAATGGTAACAATGGGTCTTCACCGTGTGCATTAAGTGAGCTTATCTTTAAAGTGGTAACAACGAACGTGATGCTTGGTTGGTCTTTATTTATATATAGACTATTCATTAAAAGACCAATGGTAACTAAATTATGAGTGTGCTTTTGCAAGTGTTTGTAGTCCAACGACCCGGGTTCGACTCCCGGCAAACGCAAATATATATATTAGTATATGATGAGAGCTTATCCTTAAAGTGGTTGATCTTCATTTATATATAGACTATTCATTAAAAGACCAATGGTAACTAATTTATGAGTGTGTTTTTGCAAGCGTTTGTAGTCCAACGGTTAGGATAATTGCCTTCCAAGCAATAGACCCGGGTTCAACTCCCGGCAAACGCAAATATATATATTAGTCTTTATTTATATATAGACTATTCATTAAAACACCAATGGTAACTAATTTATGAGTGTGCTTCTGCAAGCGTTTGTAGTCCAACGGTTAGGATAATTGTCTTCCAAGCAATAGATCCGGGTTTGACTCCCGGCAAACGCAAATAATATATATTAGTAATATGATGAGAGCTTATCCTTAAAGTGGTTGGTCTTTATTTATATATAGACTATTCATTAAAACACCAATGGTAACTAATTTATGAGTGTACTTCTACAAGCGTTTGTAGTCCAACGGTTAGGATAATTGCCTTCCAAGCAATAGACTCGGGTTCGACTCCCGGCAAACGCAAATATATATATTAGTAATATGAAGAGAGCTTATCCTTAAAGTGGTTGGTCTTTATTTATATATAGACTATTCATTAAAACACCAATGGTNAGTAGGGTGATTACATGACACTCCCGTCCAATCGAACCAAATTTGCATCAAGGCTGACCTCGCACATCAACGACCAGTTTTAAGTATTTAGAACCACAATTCGTCCTTCGTTCTTCACGTCCACCGCAAAGGTTCCTCCATATTGTTCAATGTCATTCCATTTCAGTGCTCCTTCGAGCTTTCGTCTATTATGGAAAGGTTTCTTATCTAAGAATGGGTCTTCACTAGGTCACTTGTTGGTCTTATTTTATATCAACAGACTATTCATTAGAAGATTAATGGCAACTAAGGTATGAAATGTATTTTTGCAAGCATTTGTAGACCAATGGTTAAGATAATTGCTTTCAATAGACCTGGGTTCGACTCCCAGCATATGCAAATATATATTAATACATGATGTGAGGTTATCCTAAAATGGTAACAATGGGTCTTCACCGTGTGCATTAAGTGAGCTTATCTTTAAAGTGGTAACAACGAACGTGATGCTTGGTTGGTCTTTATTTATATATAGACTATTCATTAAAAGACCAATGGTAACTAAATTATGAGTGTGCTTTTGCAAGTGTTTGTAGTCCAACGACCCGGGTTCGACTCCCGGCAAACGCAAATATATATATTAGTAATATGAAGAGAGCTTATCCTTAAAGTGGTTGGTCTTTATTTATATATAGACTATTCATTAAAACACCAATGGTAACTAATTTATGAGTGTGTTTTTGCAAGCGTTTGTAGTCCAACGGTTAGGATAATTGCCTTCCAAGCAATAGACCCGGGTTCGACTCCCGGCAAACGCAAATATATATTAATATATGAGATTTGAGCTTATCCTTAAAGTGTTAATAACGACTGTGTTGCTTGTTTGTCTTACTTACAAACTATCAAACTATTAATTAAAAGACCAATGGTACCTAATTTATGAGTGTGCTTTTGCAAGAGTTTGTAGTTCAACGGTTAGGATAATTGCCTTCCGAGCAATAGCCCCGTGTTCGACTCTCGCAAATGCAAATAAATATTAATATATGATTATGATTAAGATTGTCCCCTAAGGGACACCTAAATTATGATTATAGTCTAATCATTAAAAGACCAATGTCATTATGATTTAATTTAGTTTAGGTTACCATTGTTAATTTCATTAATCTATTTCTTAAGGCCATTAGACTTGGAAAATATATAGTAAAAGAAGTGCTCTTTAGCCAATGACTAAGTTTATTTGCAATTCTCGAATCTCAAACAATGTTCAACAATGTTCTTGCCTTGAGATATTCGATCAACAAGGTAATTCGAATCTCAAACAATGTTCAACAATGTTCTTGCCTTGAGATTTTGCAATTCTACCTAGTTTAGGTTCTTGCTTGTAGAGTGATTCGAATCTCAAACAATGTTCAACAATGTTCTTGCCTTGAGATATTCGATCAACAAGGTAATTCGAATCTCAAACAATGTTCAACAATGTTCTTGCCTTGAGATATTCGATCAACAAGGTAATTCGAATCTTACTCCCCTTGTAGTAGTTCCTTATCTTATTAGCTTCTTTGCAAGCGTTTGTAATCCACCAGTTAGGATAATTGCCTTCCAAATAAATACGTAAATTCAAAAAAAATGCGTTGAACTTGACGTAAATCTGGTGGAGCCCTCAAGGCATATGGAACCATGTTAGGAACCATGAACCTTCGTAATAGTACGATATGCTCCACTTTGAGCATAAACTCTCGATCAACCAACTACAGTCCCAAGTTTACTTTGTTACAAAAATGTTATATTAATATATACTTGACAAAGTTATCATATTTCGTATACTATAGATCTTTCGATGTCGTCTCGATTCTATCTGAAAAATAGGCCAAATATCGAGCATACAACCCTAAAGGGGCCGCGATTACCCCTCTCGTTGAATCACTCGACTTGAATAGCCACACCCTTCGTAATCGACGAGCCAAATTACAAAAAATTGTCATTGGTTGGAGACTGATTACAAAAACAACTTCAACACTTGCTGCAACACCTCCAATAATGCATTGTCTTCTCTGCATAACATTAGCCAATTTAAAAGATTGAAATAATCTTATAACATCAAAAGAGACACAATTACCTCTTGGGTTAGAATAATCTTTGTCTTTCCATAAGAGAATATGACTTGTGAATTGGTTAAAGTAACAAGAACTGTGAAAAATCCCAACAAGATCAAGAACACATAAAGAAATTTGTGACAATGTTATTATAGTATGAGTTATTATATATTACCATAATCAAAATCATTAAAACATGTGACAATGTTTATGAACTCTTGCGAGTCAATTGACACAAATGTTCCAAAATCAAATGCCCCAACATCCATCACCTTAGACGAAGGAAACATTGGTAACTCAACTTCCTCGAAATGCCCTAAAAGATCCCAAATGGGTATCAGATTTTAAAGAACTCAAATGGGTTTGAAAGATATAGATATTACAAACCAAACCATTTGAGCCATCAAAAAATTTGAGTATCGCAGTTGCAGCAAGAAATCGCCAAGGAATGGTACATGAATAAACATTGATGCAAGCTTCGGACATGACTGCAAAACAAGATTCTTGAATCTAAATTGTTCAAGAAAATTAAAATTGGTGAAAAGGGTATAAACTACAAACCACGAAGAGCCACATTGGAGTCCACACGATCTGGTTCAGGAAAAGTGAAGGTTAATGAAGAAAAACCTTTGCGTTCAAAATTGTGCATGAAATCATAGAAGCTTTCGATGTAAATGAATTTGTAATGAAGTTGGTGGCACAAATATGCATTGAAGAATTGAGGAGATAATTGGAGTGCTATAATGCAACGCGAGGAGGGTGTCGTAGCGGCCATTATGGAGAACATTGTCGGCGAGAATTTGATATCAAATATGTCATCGTATGTCTCGGCGAGGACGGAGGTGGCATCCACAAGGTCGTGCATTTGGTATAGCATAAAAATGAACATGATGGGAGAATGGTGGATCGGCTGTGGTTGATGAGGTTTTAGTGTACACCTTGGGCTATTATAAATAGTATTAGTGTCAAACATTGAGCTGTGTTAGATAAAACCTGAAATTTTTCCTTATTTAGATTTACACGTTTTAATTAGTTGATTGAATACATTCCTTTCACCATTTGACAAAAAGTAAAATGGATTAACAAAAGTGGATTAACAAAAGTTTTAGATACAATTTTGTACGAAATGACACAGATTTAGTTGGGCACTCTCGAGCGGTTAGATATTTAAATAGGTAAATATGTTCTGAACAAATAATCACTCATTTTAAGGTAAAGTTTGAGCAATTATCTCTCTCCATTCTTTTTATCATCTTTATTTTCTTCCAACAACTTCCCTCAAACGATTTCCTCTCACCGAAAAGGATTTCAGTTGACCATTATCCTTGCCGATTGTCGAAAAACAACAAGTGGTATCAGAGCCAGGTTGAAGCCATTGGTAGTATATCATTTCGGAGGAGCCAATCTTATCAACAGTCAAGTTGAATAGCTTAAGTGGTTAGAGTGTCGACCTAACAATGCACAGGTCTTAGGTGGTTCGAGTAGAAGAAAATACAAAGCGCGAAAATACACACATCGTGGGATTCATCTTGAGCAGGCTCGCTCGCTCGCTCCTCCACGCTGCCGCCAAGTGCCGGCATCTCCATCACCGCCACAAAGAGGCCGACGCCGTGATGACGGGCGTCGAGTTGTCGTTGAGCGAGTGATCAGGGAGACAACGACCTCCATCGTTCAGTACCCGCTCCATCGTTCAGTACCCGATGTTGACAAAGTCCAACTACAACGAGTGGGCCTTGTTGATGCGCGTCAATTACGATTTGTGCCCCCAAAGATGCTGGCGTCTCTCTCCACCAAACGCACCGAGCAGTTGCGGAAGGAGCTCTCGGAGATTCACACTCCTCACTGGAGGAATGGCTTGCACGCCTAAAGCTCCACGACAACACAGGCGAGAACAACGGGCCCTCCAGCCGTAGAGGCGGTAAGAAGCCATGGAAATCTCGCGGGCGCATGCGCGGGAAAGAGGCGGATCAAAAGAAGGAGTCGACCGATGACGGGCCAATCTAGTGCTCGTACTGTGGGAAGAGAGGTCACCTGAGCAAGAATTGCTGGAGCAAGCTTAGGAACAAGGAGACGCCCGAGAAGGCCCATGTGGCTCAATCCGAGGAGGACGAGCCAGATCTTTTTATGGTGACTGCATCAGTCCTACCTAACGTCCCTAATCCCGAGGAAGAGCTCCCCAAATCCACGGAGGTAATCGACGACAGCATAACTGCTCCGGTGAGCGTCGAACCCGAGGAAGAGCTCCAACTGTGCATAACGAAGGCACTGGCTGGGGAGCCAGGTCAACTGAAGAAGGAGCATCGGCGATGGGTCCTCGACACGGGGGCAACCAGTCAACCTCTCGGCCAGGTACCGGAGGATGGAAGACCTATTAGGAAGAGGTGAACCACCTGGAGAGCAACCAGTCAACCTCTCAGCCAGGTACTGAAGGATGGAAGACCTATTAGAAAGAGGTGAACCACCTGGAGAGCAACCAGTCAACCTCTCGGCTAGGTACCGGAGGATGGAAGACCTCTTAGGAAGAGGTGAACCACCTGGAGAGCAACCAGTCAACCTCTCGGCCAGGTACCGGAGGATGAAAGACCTATTAGGAAGAGGTGAACCACCTGGACTGGCGGCGCGCCACTTCGAAGAAGAGGTGGCCGAACAAGATGTGGAGTATGGGCTCAAATCGAAGTTCAAACAAAATAAGGTAGATATTTTGAACTATTTTCAATACACCACGTCTCCATAACATTAGCCAATTTACATCAACTTTGGGGAGTATTCATATTTCATATGAACTGACTTAGCTCCAAAACCGCATTACCAAATTTCTTCTGGAACTCCGACTTTCGAGGTTAAAGACGAGGACCGTACTCGATCCTTCAACAATCCTACCTTTGCCACTCTTGTCTATTCGATATCTCTATCTTATTTATGTCTCTACTTGTCTTCAATGCCCATTCTGTCTGGTGTGTTAGATGATGCACTGTCCTCCCCAGTCGCATCATGACATTCTTTTATATTGGTCCACACGTGGCCGAATGGGCGCCTCTTGAGGGTCACAACCTACTCTTTTCATAGTATGGTTGTTACATTATGCCAAGGGAGTGAATTATGAACACGCATTCCTAGTGTGGAAATCTCTCCCACGCATTTTCAAATCATGAGACTTGAACATTATAAGTAGTGCCCAAAACAGACAATATCTGCTAGTTGTAGACCAACAATGACATATCAAATATAACAAAAATCAAATCTTGACCGTGGATTTATTACCCACTAATAAATCAAATTTACTTTCATTTAATCATTTCACTGGTAAAATCAAGTTAAGAGGTACCATAATATATTTATAGACCATAAACATAGTTGTAGTTACAATTAAATATTAGGTTGAATCTCAATTATTATTTAATTTATTTATTAACACATTTTATGTTATACAAGTTTATGACATAAAATAATATATTTATCAAAGATTTTTTTTTTTTTTTATAACAATCTAGTTATTGTCTTTTCTCGACTTTCCCTTTCCGCTTTTAAAATGCATCTAGACCAATTTGTTAACATCCCCCCGAGCCATTTTTTATTAACATAATGACACCGAGCCTTTGTTGCAGCCCGGGCTACTGAATCCGCTGCTTTATTTTTTGTACCAACAATTAAGAATTGTTTGCCCCTACTTGATGCATCAAAAACTAAATCACAAGCTTCTGATAAAAAACGAGCAGTTCTAGTAAGATTTATAATATGAATACCTTTACGTTTTGCAGAGATATAAGGTGCCATTCTAGGATTCCATTTCCTAGTACCATGACCAAAATGAACTCCTGCTTCCATCATCTCTTCCAAATGGATGTTCCAATATCTTCTTGTCATTTCTCCCCCCACTTCCTCGCTCGCTTTTTTTAAGAAAAAAAAAAAAAGAGACGAGCTGAAATAGAAATAAATAATTGTTCCCATGGAACCTTATCCTCTACCTCTACCGGGGAGTGACTGTTGATACACGATCCAAGCCATTAATTTTTTTCTATTCGTTATTATCTTATTACCAAATCAACGCGGATAGTTAACAGGATGACTCCACCTTTATAAATCATTAAATCCTAGAAATTCTTGTTCTGATGTATCATGTAAACTCGAGGCGATCGGAAAATAAAGAAATAGTTAATATATTCAAGATAATTACGTATTTACAAAATACCGTCTCAATTCATCTTATTTCATCAGATCTGGGATGTGATATGGTTCCGAAGGATGAACTGGATATGGACAGTTCCAATAAGATTTCATTCTTGAACAAATATCCATTTATTTATTTATTTCATCTATTCCATGACCGGAACAGGAGGGGATACACATTACACCACGATTTTGAATCAGAAGAGAGATTTCAAGAAATGGCATATCTATTCACTCTATCAATAACCGAGCCGGATCTGGTGTATCATAAGGGATTTGCCTTTTCTATTGATTCCTACGGATTGGATCAAAAACAATTCTTGAATGAGATATTCAACTCGAGGGATGAATCGAAAAAGAAATATTTATTGGTTCTACCTCCTATTTTTTATGAAGAGAATGAATCTTTTTATCGAAGGATCAGAAAAAAATGGGTACGGACCTCCCCCGGGAATGATTTGGAAAATAGTGGTATTTGCTAGCAACAACATAATGGAGGCCGTCAATCAATATAGATTGATCCGAAATCTGATTCAAATCCAATATAATACCTATGGGTACATAAGAAATGTATTGAATCGATTCTTTTTAATGAATAGATCCGATCGCAACTTCGAATATGGAATTCAAAGGGATCAAATAGGAAATGATACTCTGAATCATAGAACTATAATGAAATATACGATCAACCAACATTTATCAAATTTGAAAAAGGGTCAGAAGAAATGGTTCGATCCTCTTATTTTGATTTCTCGAACCGAGAGATCCATGAATCGGGATCCTAATGCATATAGATACAAATGGTCCAATGGGAGCAAGAATTTCCAGGAACATTTCATTTCTGAGCAGAAGAGCCATTTTCATTTTCAAGTAGTGTTCGCTCGATTACGTATTAATCAATATTCGATTGATTGGTCTGAGGTTATCGATAAAAAAAAATTTGTCTAAGTCACTTCGTTTCTTTTTGTCCAAGTTTCTTCTCTTTTTGTCTAACTCACTTCCTTTTTTCTTTGCTCGATCTCTCCCCCGGATGAACCATATAGCCAAGAGAAACCATGAACCAGAATAGAAGAACTTGCCCCACCCATGAGTAAATATTTCGTAGTAGCCTCATTAGACCGTACATCTTTCTTGGTATATCCAGATAATAGGTAGGAGCATAAACTGAAACATTCTGGAGCTACAAAGATAGTTATTAAATCATTAGCACCGCATAAAAACATTCCTCCTAGAGTAGCTGTTAATACGAATAACAGAAACTCTGTTATAGCCATTTCTGTACATTCAATGTACTCTACGGATAGAGGAATACATAGAGTTGAACATAGTAAAATAAGAAATTGAAAGATTTCGTTGAAATTGTTCGTTTGAAAATTTCCAGAAAAGTGTGTAAACTATAAAAACGAGTCAAGGTAGATTGTCCCACACTAGCACTTCCGCGTAATACAAAAGTGTGTAAACTATAAAAACGAGTCAAGGTAGATTGTCCCACACTAGCACTTCCGCGTAATAACTCTACCAAAGGCGACCCTATTACTGGAATAGCTTCCGGTACACCTGTTACAATTTTGACTGCCCAATAACCAATTTGGTCCCGAGGTAAGGAATAACCAGTTACACCAAAGGATGCGGTCAATACAGCCAGAACCACACCTGTAACCCAAGTCAATTCACGAGGTTTTTTAAATCCACCAGTAA